AACCCTCTCACAAAGTGCTGTGATAACTATAATAAAGTGATAACTAATAAAGTGCGAAGACATTGTGAATCTGCATTTTAAATTCTGTATACTGTACAACTGTATAAGTGGTTTCTTTAGCACTGCTCTTTGTTCGAAAGCAGGATCCACAGTCATAAATGAACAAGCAACCTTACCGATCCGACACAACACTCCACCTAACGCGCCTGCAGCTCAATAAAAACGGCCGGCATGTGAGCCGTGCGTGTGCCATGTGCCACGGGTCATGTTGAGCTGCGAGAGCTTCCCTTCTTCACATCCACCCACATTCATCAGCGCTCGCACAGACACAATTCACACTGAAATGACAGCCACCAAAATGACTAATGGCTTCGTGAACCATTCATGAAGGTGCTGCAAATGTAATTACGCCTCAGTTTTTTTTTAAATGCCGTCATGAATGATGTTAGATCATGTGGGAAAGAAAATCACAATTATTAGATACACTAGAGATGTTTGATTAAATCTGTTGCTTCTCAGGTTTTTGGGGAAAAGACTTTTTCCCGATACCAGATTGTGATCAAAAAGTCAAATACAAACATTTCTCATCAACTTCAAGATTAAATGATCTAAGCTACTGTACACTAATTTTTTAGCTCTATATTCACACTGTATGAAAACTATTGGCTCATTTGTGTCTGTTTTTTAATAAGGACATATCTTTTAATAAAGAAATTAATAAGTAAAATAAAACAGAACTCAGTTTAGTCTGAGCAATGAATTTTCTCTCAGTTAAATGCAACAGGGAACATTCTCAAAATGTCCTCTCAAAGTTATGAACAAACATATCAGTGACGTTAACAGAATGTTCATTCAAAGTTATGTGGTCTTTAATAATGTTCTCAAAACATTAGCACAAAACATTATTTATATATCATTCATCGTTGAAACATTTTAGTTTAACTTTTTTGTAAAATGTTATTAGTTGTTTCAGAATGTTCAAAAGTAACATTCCCATAATGATAAAAATGATAGCATGGAATGTTCCCTTAACATTCAAATAAAGAATTTAATTTTTAAAACATTCAAAAAAAAATGGATGCATGAATGTTTAGAGAGCATTCAGAAATAAAATTTTCATAAATGAATAGGAATGTTAGAAAAAATATTCTTAAAACATTTTTGTTAGCTGGGAAGCTTTAAAAAAAAAATCTGATCACTAACCTTGCAAAGATAAACAGGAAGTTACATTCAATTGCTTTTCCTGTCTAACCACAGACTGGCAGAAGATTATTTCTGTGAAGCCTATAATCATCTAATCAAACCTATAGTCATCTCTGCTTGTACCTGTCAACAGAATAAACGAGAGTAAATACAGATAACGACCATAACAGCTTCAACTCCCTCAGATTCCTCCTGTGATCACTTCATGAATCAGCTGGACAATAATGTATTCCTGATGACATTTTTTGCCCTAAACTTTAAACAATATCAAACTAATGAGAAGTCCAGCAATCTGATTCAGGGCTCTACAAGTGAAAACCTGCTACTTATAACATTTCTTTATCTGTCTCCAGTCTTCATCTGCAGCAACAGAAAGTTTAATCCGAGGTCAAGATGGGTGACGTAACTGAAACAGTTTCCACTTTGTTCTCAAAACAGCTGAGTATTATTTTAGAAAGAGTCTTTCATCAGGAGATTCATCCTGCCAGGAAATGCGAGACTCAAACCCTCATGAAAAATCACATCACAGATATACAAGTGAATAAATAAAGTTAGGAATGTATAACCAAGACATACAGTTAGGGGAAAAAAGTGTGCAAAGACACATACAACAGCTACAACGAAAAAAAAAAAAAAAAGATTTTTCGAAATTCTAAATAAAAACTATTGAAGTACGTTTTACAAGAAAATAACATTTCAGTATTTGTACTTGCTATTTCCTTGTAATTATTTGTTAAATTTACTAGCAATTTTTGAGTGAAATTTTTTGACACTTTTTTTGACAGTACCATTAAAAAACAACCTTTTCAACCTTATATACCCCCTAAAAAGTGCATATTAGTAATTTAGAACAGTAATATGTGCCATTAATGTGCTATTATGAATCTTTTATGGGTGTATAAGCAGGGGCGTGTCTACGTGGTGGCCAGGGGTGGCACCGGCCCCCCCAGAAATTTGGCT